CACCCAACCCCCCCCACTACTTATCTAATCCCTAAAATATTCCTTCTGTCCCTTACAGATTACTTCAGGTAATTCCCCCAAATGTTCTTTGTTCCTTACAGATGATGTCAAATTTTAAAGCTAAAACTTCACCTTACCAGCACACTACTGATTACCTCAGTTTGCCTCAACCTTTTCTTTCTTTACAGATTCAGCACCCAAAATTTTTCCTACCTGTTACTATTCACTACCTCATTTTACCTCACAATGCTCCTTCTCTCCCCACACAACCTCAAGTTTTAATCCCAAATTTTTCCATGCCCATCTGCTAATGACCACCTCATTTTTACCTCGGGATTTTCAGTCTCTCCTCTATGAGTTAACTCACATTTGAACTCCTAAACATTCATTTTTTTTCCCTATAGATTACTTCTACTTTCCCCCCACCGATTCCCTCTACCTGTGTACCACTCCAGATTACCTCAGTGTTTTCCCCTCAAATTTTCCCTACCTGTCCAGTATTTTTTACTCCATATTTACCTCAAAATGTTGTTTTTTCTCCTCTACACATTACCTCAATTTGACCCCTAAAATTTTCTGTGCCTGTCCACTACTTATTCCATCTGTTTACCTCAAAATGTTCATTCTCTACCCTGGAGCTTATCTCAGTTTTTAGCCACAAGTATTTCCCTCATGTGTGCTACTGATTACCTAACTTTTAACTCCAAATTTTCATTTACTCTGCTAGAGGTTATCACAAATCTCACCAAGGTTTTCCCTACCTGCCTCCACTTTTGATTTACCTCAGTTTTACCTCAAAATATTTATTCTCTACCCTAGAAATGATTTCAAGTTTGACCCTCCAGCATATCACTACCTTTGTGCTACTTATTACCTCCATTTACCTTGAGATGCTCATTCTCTCCCCTAGGGATTGCCCCAGATTTTACCCCCAAAATATTCCCTCTGTCCACTTCTGATGAGCTCATTTTCCCCTCAAAATCTCCACTCTCTGTCAATATAGAGCACCTCAAGTTCACTCACAAATGATTCCCTCTGTGACACTGATGATTACATTGTCTTTCCCTCTAAATACTCATTCTCTCCCCCAGAAAGCACCTCAAGCTTATCCCACATAAATTTCCCTTCCTTACTCATTGCCTCAATTTTTACAATAAATCAATCACTCTCTACCCTCAAGGTTATCCCATGTTTTACCTCCCAGATTTTCTTTCCTGTACACTACTGATTTCCTCATTTCACCCCAAAATGAGTGTTCTCTCCCCACAGCTATTCCCTCAAAATGCCACTCGCTCCCCTCCACATCCCCTCACATTTTCCTACACAAACACATGTTGGGTCCCCTCTAAATTATAGCAGGTTCTCAGCCAAAAGAATGTCACCTCTGTCCCCTCTAAGTTATGCCAGGTTTTCCCAGCTGGGAGCTGCAAAGAATTCAGGCAGGTGAAATGACATCAGGGAATAGCTGTAATCAGAGATTGTACCTAGGCTTTAACCTCCCAAGTATTCACTGTACCTTACTTGAGAGCAAACCCACAAACTCCCCTACCTGGACACTGCTGATTACCTGGACTGACCTCAAAATGTTCATGCCTTCCCTTAAGTGTTACCTCAGATTTTACTGACAATCATTTTCCTCAAAAAGGCCATCTGGCTCTTCTCTACCTGAGATCTCCTCCAGCTTCCCACCACAAACATTCCTCACCTTTTACTGACTTCCTCAATTTACCTATAAATGTACATTTGCTCTGCTACCAATTATCCCAGATTTTACCCCCAAAACTTTCACACCTACAGGTAAACGCTGACCTTACCTGGATCAGTCTTAAATTTGGCCCTGACTCTGATCTTTGGCATGGTCCCTGCCCAGAGCTGAGGGAAATCTGACCTAAAAGCAATAAATAACCTTTGCTGAGAGCTGTCCACACCCCTGTCCTTCAGGCTGTGCAAGATTTTGTAGTGAGGAGACCCAAATCTGAATTCTAAATCTCAATTTCTGTCAGCTTTCTCTAGAAAGACACTTGACAGGAAGTCATAGAGCATACAGAATTAAAAGGCTACACAAGGAAAAACAAAATATCTTCCATGAATAAGGAGAAGTTCCTTTTTTTCCTCATCTGTCTGGGACTGTAGGACTGAATCTTTGCAACCAAAAGACAGCACAGTTGTTATTAATGCTTAAACTTTTCAAATATTGCAATTTCTCAGAGAACTCTTCTGTCTCTAAGCTACTCCCACATGCCTGGAATGGTTTTGGGAATGGCAAGAAAACATCCCACTTATGTTTGGAAAAATATAAGATAACATAATGTAATTTCACTTCTTTCTCTGACCCATAAGCAAAGTGTGTAGAACAGCACAGACTATTCAGTTAGGGGGAAAAAAGCAAAACCAAAAAAAAAACCCTAAACAAATAAAACCACCCCACATTTCAAGGTAAAGACATGTTGCTTCCTTAACAGGAGCTCACAAAACTAATTTGAACCAAAAAGGAAATCACAAACCAGAAAAAGAGCCAGAAGAAATGCTCTCCATTGATATTGCTAATTCCAAAGAAAATTCCCCATGGATCAAAAGTAATTGCTAGTATTTTTTCCCCTGTAAAAATTCCTGCCATGAGTTTCTCAGAGACTCTGTCCTCTGAGGGAAACATGGCCTGATGAGACACAGCTCTGGCACCACACACCCTCCTGTTTCTGGTGTCCTTGGAATCCACAAGTCAATACAATCCCTTGGACCGTGCATCCCTGAACACGAGGACAAATGGAGTTTTAACCAGATCCCACTAAACAGTAGAGCTGTGCTTACATTTCCTGGAGAGTTAACCCCAACAGACAGGAGAAGGGAAATGTGTCCCCCTGACTTACCCCACAGCATGTGCAGGACCAGGTGTGCTTCCAGGGCATGAGGCTTTTGGGTTTGGCTGCTCAAACCCAGACAAAACCACAGGTTTAGGCGTGGCTGGGTCGAATGAAATGATTTGTCCTGTCCTGAAAGAGAGAAGAAAAGGAAAATTCAGTCAGCTGGGCAAGTCACAAGCTCATGGCTTTCACATATTTGTTCTCATTGCTTATTATAGAGCTTTTCATTTTAAAAAAGGAGAGGTGACAGCCATATTAAATATATAAGTGCCCTCCTCCAGGATTTTTATTCAAACCTCTTTCAGACATGAAAAGGGTGCTATTTGTTGTTATTGTATTATTTGCATGATTTTAACAGACCCATCATGGTCCCAGACCCTGCTTATCCTTTGGCACTGGACTTTAGACAGGAGATATCCAGGATTACTTCTGCCCTTTGCTCACAGAGCTCAGCACCATCCTCTCCTGAGAGCAGCAGAAAACTGCTCCAGAACAAGAGCTCATTTGGTCACAGCCCTTCTTCTTCCATAGGGATGTGGCTGCAGCTCACCAGAGGCAAGAAAACTGCCTTTCAACTCCATACAAAAACTACCTGAAAAGAGCAGGACATCAGGAGCAGCAGGAATTCCCTCATGTTTCTGCTCACAGGTATTTTCATGGTGATTTGCCTCACAGGGGCTTTCCCACCAAGCTCATTTCAATCTTGTTTTATCTTGAAAAATAATTTTGAAAGCTGAGTTTGTTGAGAACTGGTTCATCTTTGGATTATTCCTAATTTGGAGTTTTTAGTGCTACACTTGCCATGATTCTTAAGGCACAAGGAACTTTCCAGATTGACCCAAATCTTCACATCCAACTTCCTCTGTTCGTTGCACGTTGTAGCAGTTCACTGTCCCCTCAGAACAAGCAATGGATCTTCTTGAGTCCCAGGGCCTCTTGTGCAGCACAGGGCATGGAAAAGGTCACAGAGCTCTTTCTGAAGCCACATCATCCCCGGATTGGATTTCCAGTGAAGGATTTTGCTCCCTGCACAACTAAGAAGACCCTGTCAGTGCTTTGTTACTGTTATCCGAAGCCTCAAACCCCACAACCTGCCAGGGAGAGATGTCTGTGCCGCAGGAACATCATTCCAAACCTGCTGCTGCAAACCCTCAGCTTCTCACACCAGCCCATAGGGGACCAGAACCATCACAGCAGACAGAAATGCTCCTTTAGGGAGCACCACAAGCCATCTAGGAGGTCCCACTGGAATTCCATCTACTCTACAAGCTGTGAGAAGCAGTGAACCAAGCCATGTCCTTACAGGGGAATCAGGAGCTCCTGTTCAGCCAACAGCAGCTCCAATAACAGCACTGAACCAAAACCTCACCAAAAATACATTAAAGCAAATGCCAACACCTTGACAAGCACTTCAGTTCTCAATTTATAAAGTAAAACCAAAAGAGTTTTTCAGACACTTGGGGGAAGCCAATCTCACTTTTTTAAACAAATTTCTGGGAGTTGTTTCCAGGCTCCTGATGTTCTCAGCTCACAAGCAGCTGCCAGCATTACAGCTGGTTCTACGCAGAGGCAAGTGGCTGCTGCAACTTGTCATGCAACTCAGCAGTTCCTTGAACCCACAGTGCACTCTGGGCACGTTCAAGTTCCAATTTCGTGCCTAGAGATGTGGCACTGATGTGGCAACGCCCAAAGTCAAATCCCAGTTCCCTGGTTCTTGTTTAAACTCCATTGTCTGTTTTATCCAGTCTTCTGCTGTTCATTTCTTGGCTTGTTTGAAGTGTTCATAGCCCCAGGGTGCCACGCTGTGCTCTCACCAGCCCTGAGTCCATCCAGCACTGACACAGCTGCTGGGAGCTAAAATTCCCCCTGATATCTCTCTTTCCTTGCCTGGAAAACAACCCCTTCCAGATCCTGCACCCCCTCCTCTTACTTCCTTGAAAACAAGAGCTGCATCCTCCTGGATCCCTCAGCTGGGTGCTCCTGGCAAATGCTGAGCCTCACTGAAGGATGCTGGACTAAAGCATGAATGAAAGTGAAGGGAGTCACTGACCCATCTGTCAAACTCCTCCAACCACTGCAACTGGAAATTAACTCCCAGAACTTTCCTCTGATCCTGATTTGCATCTCATCTGTCCTATGAGACTCAGGGAGTGGGGAACACCCTGACCTACACAGACTGGTAAATGACACAAGTGAAATGGCTCATTTGGGCTGTCCCCAGCTACCATGAACAGTCCAGATTTAAGGTTATATCTTGCCATTACAAATTTTAATTCACCTGTTATCTCCTCTCTGCTTAATAAATAAGTCATTGTCTGAACAGACTTGATCTGCCATCCTTAGAACTTGTGAGCCAGAGTGATTCTTTACATTATAAGTGTTGACAAAAATCTGAGGCTAAGGCAGGGCTTGCCTGAAGCTGCCACTCATCCCATGACAACCTGGAGCCTGAGGATGCTCTGGGGATTGCAATTCACAGCCTCAGGCAGCCCTGCACGGGAAAGCCAAGTGGGTTTTCCTCTTCCCAGAGAGGAAAAGAGATGGTAGGAAGGGCTGTTCTAGCTGACCTGTCCCTCGTAGGCATCCCTGAACAGGATAATCCGTCATGTCTCTCTCTGTTACTGCAAAACACTGCAGACCCTGTGCTCCTGGGATTTAAAAGCTCCGTTTGTGTCAGCAGAAAGTGAGGGAGTGCAGAGAGCAGGGGGAAAAAACCCCTCAGCTATATAATTTGTCCTCCTCTGGGGGTCACAAGTGGGGATTGATCCCTAATTTAGACTCCTATTGGGAGCTTCAAGGAAAGTAATTCTCAAGGTGGCACTGAATACACCAAATTCCTGACACTCCTGCCCCAGAACCACGGCCCATCAGGTTTCTGTGGGCACCTGAAATATCTGTGTCATTCAGAAGCTGCACACCCCTAAAGCTTTCCTTTGGGCCACAAAACTTCCCACATGTGTTCAGTACACCAATTTGTACTTCCAGCGCTTTCCAAGAGAGTTTAAATGAGAATGAGCTGCCTTGGTGACAGCACAGCATCAGACCAGGGACGTCAGGGCACTCACTAGACAATGTTCAGGGCTCCAGCTTTTCAGTACAGATCCACTGCCCCTGAACCTAATGGAAACCACCTGGCAACAAGTAACATTAACCCAGCGCATCACCTGTGTGTCATCTCACTAAGTATAGCTGCATAGTCAGTGGCAGGCACCTGACTGAAATAAATACATATATAATGCATTACATTATGCTGCTTTCTGAGAGGTTTATGTTCTCCTGGCATTGCTTCAACACGCCTGAACCCAGGTTCTGCTCCCTTTTGTGCCCTCAGTCCTAAAGAACAGCTTGGATATCATCAGTGATGCAGCTCTAGATAATGAGATTACTGCTGCAAACAGAGAGAAACCAATGGTTGGGGGAATTATTGCAGAAAAAAACCCTGTGCACTTCCCAGTCCCTGCCCAACACACCCCAGTTCTCTACTGGGAGCGCAAGTCCAGTTCTTATTGCAGAAACTCAAAGACTTCATATAGATATGTTTTATAGAAAAGCTTTTCAAGGCAATTGCCTCTCCCAGCACCAACAGCAACCCTCGGCACTCCACCAGCCCCACGGGAAAAGCCACCTAAGGCTTAAAAGGCACGAAATTAGCAAAATGCATTAATTCAACATTAAAAATATCATTAAACAACGGATTTAGAAAACATTCGCCTCATAATGCGCACGGAGAGAGGCTCTGGGATGCCAAGGCAAGCTCAGAGATCAAGAGATCCTCATCCTTGCCATGGCTTTACCCGGGGTCACCGAGTACCTGCCCCCCCT